ATCATAATGCAACCTTGTTATTGACTTGCTAAAGCTGATTTAAAATAATATTTGTTTTCTCTTCTTTTAATAGAAAAATTAAGCGGAACATTTCTGCCTCCATCCTAACCAATACAATAAAATGTTATATATTTTTCCTGTACAAGCCATATTTTTAAAGTGCCTTGCGTCTCACTACAGGCTAAGTTAGTTTGTATATAAAGCAATGTTCGCTTTTACTGGATGTCAGGCAAACACAAAGTTTTAATTTGTAATATTTTACAATGAGTTACAACTGAGAGAATCTCAAAACTCAACAAGCAAGTGGGCCATTTTACAGGCCTACTAGATCTGAGATCAGTGATGGCTAGAGAGATGCTAGAGTTGGGATACATTTACTTCATTTTGATTTTGATCCTTGTTTCTTTATAAATATTAAAAATATTACAACTTAAAATCTTTCAGTTATTAAATAGACAATTACAGTTAACCAATATGCAACAGAATAAAAATATAGAACCATATATAGATTTAGCTAGGCATATGATAACAGAGCATATTATCCTTTAGTTACAACTTTCCAAATGCCAATCTTTTTAAAAAATGCTAAAATCAAGGAACATTCAAGTAATATATAAATAAAATTAAATGTAATAAAATAATTTAAAATGAAAATGTAAAATGAAGTGTTCAGTACTTCTCTTTTCTTTTCCCCCTAACCACTATTACTCAGATATTTATACTTTGCTTTAAATCTTTATAACTATTGCTTGAAATCAGCATAATAAGGCCAATCAGATGGTTCATTACCTTTTTTCTTTAGCTGTGCCCAAGTCTAAAATATCTGTAACTAAAATTCCTATCCCATCATCTCCAGCCAACATGTTAATGGCCAGTGGCAATGGAAGTTTTTCTGCAGAACACTGGAAAACACTAGGTCAAAGCAATAGATAGTTAATTTGGCAGCAAAGAGGTTTCCAAATAAATAAATAAAATATAAGTGAAGTGATGGGAGAAAGATAGCTGAAGTTTTACTGTGACTGAAGAAACATGTGTATCAATAAAGGTGAGGCCAAAATTGGCAGTAATTCCACTACTGTTTGGGCAATTTTGTTTTATAACAGATTAACCAACCAACTCAGAAAGTAATAGAATACCAATCAACTCTCAATTCTGCATGTAGCTACCAAACTGTGAAAGTAGATGACTTATTAACCCTTCTCCACAAGCACCCATTCAAAGGATAATGCAAACTGTATTTTCCCTCATCTATCTGCTAGTAAGAAAGCATTCAAGAACCCATGAATATACGTTCTGGGGATCAATTAAAAACACAGACTTCAACATAATCTTGTATCTGGTTCTAAAGTAGGTTTTTAATAAATCAGACCTGCCCAGGAAAACAATGGTTTCACAATTCATTCTGGAAAGAAGTGAACAGCATACAGAAATATTTCTATGAGAAAATTTTAATACTGAGAGGAGGAGGAGGAGGAGGAGGAGGAGGAGGAGGAGGAGGAGGAAGAGGAAGAATAGATAAATTGATACAGAAAGAAAAGTTTTAGAAGCAAGTTACAGTACTGAAATCAAGAGGCAAGTTAGCCATAACTTATTTCAAACCCGCAACTTCTCTCCTCTGGTCACTGCCCTACTTGGCCTTTTAGCTTAAGCTTCAAGGGAGCCTGAATCCCTGGATTATAAAAAAGGCATTAATCTCCAACTAGAACTTTCCAGAGCACTTGTCCATTTTAACTAAGCTTCTTCTAAATCAGGAATACCCAAATTCTTCACCTCATCAACCCCTGGGCTCAGGAATTCTGGGAGTTCAAGTCCACAAGTCCTAAAGGAGCCATAGTTTCCCACCCATTTTAGATGGCTCATTCACACCCCATATACCATTTGTTGTATTAAAAAATACTAATGTTACTAATAATATTACAAATGACAATGGTAACAATAACAGATAGTACCATCAACCCTTGGGGATCATGAACGCTTTGGGGAATCCCTTTCAAAAGAGTACTAGAATTTCACTGACTGAAGGTTGACTTAAACCAATAAAGATAGAGGACATATGCCAGATGTGGGCTATTTCTGTCCCCACTGGCTGCTATACAGTTCTTGCACTGCTTCTGCTACCAAGTGGTTTCACACAGCTGCCTTTACCAGAAAGCACTGAAACTACCACCAACCCTCCAGGATGACTATCATGCAGTTGCATTTCCTGTGGCTGTCCAATGGGAGGGGGACTTTGCAAACTCTATTCCGACTTCTATGAATTATATCCATTGAGTCTACTCAGATGCTGCTAGCCAGGCCAGAATTAGATTCCTTGGCCAGTCATGATTAATTAGCATTACTATTTCTTTGCACCTCAGAGCTTGTTCATTATCAACTGTTTCCTCCCCTCTTTTTCACCCTGCATGCACCCACAAGATCTGCCACCAGTCAGCACATTTGATAGCTAAGCATGTCATTCTAAACATGCAAGTAAACTTGCACCTTAAGGATGTGTCTAAACTCCAGCCTTCAGGAGAGTGATCTGTGATTGCTATTAACTCAGGCAGGGAATGCTTAGTGGGAGAAGAAAGGAATCCAGGGGGATCTATCAATCATTTTCCTAACTTAGCTTCATAAATAAAGAAAACACAGTTAACGGGGTTCTTTCTTGCAACAGGAAAATACACTGCCAGTGGGAGCAGCACAATAAATGCAGGCATAGTTTGCAACAAGGAGGCGCTTTAACTAGAACAAATGTGGTTCCAGAGGTTTATCCCAACAGTTTAGGAAGGAGGAGGTGTAAAGCTGTAGGAGCTGCAGCCACTGTTTGGCCGAAAAAAGAAAGCCAAGAATCGTAGCTGATGGCTAACAAAGAAGCTAATCTTTTGTCTCTGCTGGCACTTCTGAAACCTTATCGCCGAAGCCCATCCACTGGTGCAGCACTTTTCCTGTTTGTGCAAACCACGCAAAAGCCGGCAAGGATTTTGCAGACCACGCTCACTAAAGAGGAAACGCGACCACGACGCCTTCTATTTTTTATTTGCTCGGGAAGCGGAGCACAAAGCAACGGAGCAGATTAATGTTGCCAAGCTGCTCCTCTCTCCGGTTCGGCTGTATCGGGGCGGTCGTACCCCGCAAGGCGAGAAAGAAGGGTCATCTCCAGGTTAGAGTGGGTGAGCTACTCTCACGCCCCCCCTTCTCGCCATGCTCCCCCTTTTCCTGCCCTGAACTACAGCTGGACGATTTTGCGACTGAGTTGTGATCTGCAGCTTCGCCGAGGAAGGAGACGCTTGCAAAGAAAACGCTACCTAGGAATGGGACTGTATTGGGGTGACAAGGAAGGAGACGGGCAGTCCTGGCTGACACGCATCCCCAAGTCTCCCGCCTTCCTATTCGAAACGCTGCGCTACCATTCAGCCACCGCAGGCATCCCCGGATTTCTCGAGGGGCTAAGCAAGCAGACATGCATGAAATGTGTAGGTGCCGGTGCAGGGAGCAGGAATCGGAGCTGAGGCAGACCAGAGAAATACACACACACACCCCTCTCCAGTACGGGCAGCATCTCCTCTCTTTGCTGGGCGGGAAGGAGCGGGAGCAAGATAAGTTACCCTACCTAAACGGCAACGTCTTTTGCTGCTGTAGTATACGCGAACCGCGTCGGCTTTCCCAGGCACCGCCGGCTCCCCACCCCCTAGCGGACACGCCTTCCCACCCGCCAACAGACAGACATGCCTACACCAAACAAGCCAGCTTCAGGATTAAATTAGTCCTACGCCCGCCAACGGCAGCGTAAAAAATGCAGCAGTAGCAACAGCAACCAGGATCCTCCTTGAATCCTCCAAAACATATAAGTCGACAGGGCTGATCCCGCCGCTTTCTCCAATTGACAAGCTTGTCACAGAATTAAATACAACCTTGTATCGTAAAAATGGGGGAGGTTCCTTCCCCCCCCCTCCCTTTTAATTGCGCGCTGCGAACTGCAGTCTCGCCACAGCTACGCCGCACTAGACGGGCTAAAGTTTTGTTTTGCTTATAAAGTGTCAAGGCTCGACAGTCGGGACGCGTGGCAATAGGAATCATTTGTCATCGCCCCAAACGAAAAATAACATAAGGGCGGCTTTGGACGTGTCGTTGCCCCGAAGGAGCACGGGATATAGAAACGGGGACGTGCCCCTCTACAAAGAGGACACGCGTCCCTCCACACTCATAGAAAACTTGGCCTTCGGGAGACGGCGGGAGACCCCGAGGGCAAGCACAATAGCAGCAGCAGCAGCAGCTGAGCGCAATCTAACTTGCTTCGGTGCTCATCCTGTTTAAATGATCTAAAGATGAAGTGTAACCCAGTAGAAGCGGAAAGGGAATAAAGTCCACGTACACGATGAGCGCTAACTTGGCAGTAATTCCCACTTAAAATTTCCGTCTAGGTCCAGGGCGTTCCAAATCCGCAACCCTTCTCTATAAAAGCACAGCTGAACTTCTGGAAGGGAGGAAGGAATGCCACTCCCCCTCAACCAGCAGTACAGGAGAACAGACCCGCTTCCCGCATCTCAAGCTACTCTCGCTACTTCGAAATCCGTGAACGCTTCCAAATACCTAACGTGCCCCTTGGTTTTATTCAACTCTTTGCAACTGCCCAGCCGTCGAACAAACCCATTTGGGCAATCCCTCTCTTCTCCCCCCCCCCCCCTTTCAACTTCTTTCCAAAACCCGCGCCATCGTTTTCGCCTTGGGGTCACATCTGTCCTGAAGCCGACCGTAACGCTTAGCTACGCGAGGGCGAAATCGCAGATTGCAGATCAAAAGGAAGTGGGCGGCCGGGGGGGGGGGAGAGAGATCTTCACAACATCCTCAGAAAAAGAAAATACACACCTACTCAATACGAGTTGGAGAGGAGGGAAGGGGGCTGAAGGAAGGAAGGAAACACCACCGGCCCCCTTTGCACCTCAATGCGCCGTGTGCGCATCCCAGCTCTCCTCCCTGTTTTGTCAAATACGTGTGAAAGCCAACGCTTTTGCATTTACCCGTTGGGTTGCGCCTCCGGGTGCCCCTCCGTTCTTGCGATCTCTTTTGTCTTGTAAAAGATCAGGAGGATACTTATCGTGCAGATAGTCCACCTCTTCCTGATGGAACGCATGTCTCCCGCAAAATCAGAATTCCTTCTATTTCCTTTGTTTGGCAGGATGCAAAGAGGAAAAGGGAGCAAAGGAGATAAAACAAAGCAGCGTTCAGCCAATTATTATTATTATTTTTTTTAAAAAAGGAAAGAAAAAAAAAAAAAGCCGACTTTGTGTTGTGGGAGGCGAGGCTGCCGCTGCTTCTCCCTCCCCCGCGGGCGAAGTCCTGCCCGAAGTCCACGCGCTCCCGAGATCGCTCGGCAATTGCTCCTCTCCAAGCTCCTCTCACGCTGCCTTCCCGTTTAGGTAACAGCAGAGGCGGCAGCCGCCAGTCTCCGGGGCGTCACGTAGCCCCGCCCTTTCCCTGGCGGGGAAATGATGAGCAAAGCCCGGCCAATAGGTGGGCAGAGGAGGCGGGGATCGCTGCTTCTTCAACTTTAAAAAGCGCCTTTCGGAGAAGAGAAGAGAAGAGAAGGGAAGGTTGCTCAGGGCAGTCATCGGTTCTCGGTGGGAAGAAAGTGGCCAACGAAGGTGGTGGCGTGGAAGATTTTTTCCCCCTTAGGTTGCGAGGACCTCAGTGTTCCTCGAGACCACTTAGGGAAAAGTAAGTCCCCAGGAGTTCACTGACGGTGATTCCTGAGGGGCGTGAGTAGGGATTCTTCTTCTTCTTCTTCTTCTTCTTCTTCTTCTTCTTCTTCTTCTTCTTCTTCTTCTTCTTCTTCTTCTTCTTCTTCTTCTTCTTCTTCTTCTTCTTCTTCTTCTTCTTCTTCTTCTTCTTCTTCTTCTTCTTCTTCTTCTTCTTCTTCT